TGAAATAAAGACCTTCCAATACAAAGAGAAATTCAAAGACTTTGTCACCACCCATCCAGCATTGCAACAAATACTTAAGGATGTGCTGCACACAGAAACACAGAAACATGGTCATCACTACGAAAAAAGGTAATGGAAGAAAATCTCCCAGTAAAAGAACAAAGGAAATCCAAGGTTAAAAAAAATACAAATATTTACTGAAAAATGTCAAGGCAAAGTCATTACTTATCAATTCTTCTCAAGTTACTCAAAACAATTGAAAGGGAGGGAATGCTTTCTATGAAGCCAACATCACCTTAATTCCTAAACCTGAAAAAGATGCAACTGAGAAAGAGAACTACAGACCATTTTTCCTGATGAACATAGATGCAAAAATCCTCAACAAAATTCTAGCCTATCAAATCCAATAACATATCATACAGATCATTCACCCAGACCAAATCGGATTTATTCCTGGCATGCAGTGATGGTTCAACATTTGCAAATCAATGTGATACATAACATTAACAAACTGAAGAACAATATATGATTATCTCAATAGATACAGAGAAAGCATTTGATAAAATACAACACCCTTTCATGATGAAAACCCTAAGCAAATTGGGTATAGAAGGAAATTCTCTAAACGCATCAAGGCAATCATTGGTGAACCCACAGCCAGCATCCTATTGATTGGGGAAAAGTTGAAAGCATCCCCACTGAGATCTGGAACCAAACAAGGATGCCCACTCTCACCACTGCCATTTAATATAATCCTGGAAGTTTTAGTCAGAGCCATTAGGCAAGCAAAAGAAGTCAACAGGATACAAATTGGGAAGGAGGAAGTCAAACTATCCCAATTTGCAGATGACATGATTCTATATATAGGGGATTCAAAAGACTCCACTAATAGACTATTGGAACACATAGAAGAGTTTGGTAAAAATAGCAGCATTTAAAATCAATACACAAAAATCAACAGCCTTTGTATACAAAGACAATGACACAGTTGAGAAAAAACTTCTAAGATCAATTCCATTCACAATAGCTACAAAAAATACCTTGGAATAAATTTAGCCAAGGATGTCAAAGATCTCTATGATGAGAATTACAAATCATTAAAGAAAGAAATAGCAAACAATACAAAAAATGGAAAAATCTTCCATGTTCATGGATTGGAAGAATCAATATCCTAAAAATATCCATAGGTCTGAAAACAATTTACAGATTCAACGTGATACCAATCAAAATTCAAGGACATTCTTCTCAGATACAGAAAAAATGATGTTAAAATTCCTATGAAAACACAGGAGATCCCAAATAGCTAAAGCTATATTATAAAAAAAAAGAAGAAGAAAGAAAGAAAGCCAGACACAATATCAGATTTCAAGACATACTACAGGGCAGTTATAATCAAAACAACCTGGCATTGGTACAAAAACAGATGAGTAGATGAATGGAACAGAATAGCAACACCAGAAATCACTCCAAATATTTACAACCAACTTATCTTTGACAGAGAAGCTAAAATCAATCCCTGGAGAAAGACAGACTCTTCAACAAATAATGATGGGAAAACTAGATTTGCACATGCAGAAGTGTGAAACAAGACCCCTACCTTACACCTTACTCAAAAATCCACTCAAAATGGATTAAAGACCTAAATCTATGACCCAATACTATCAAACTATTAGACAACATGAGGAAACCCTGCGAAACATTGGCACAGGCAAAGAGTTCTTGGAAAAGACCTCAGAGGCACAAGCAATGAAAGCCAAAATCAACAAATGGGATTATATAAAATTGAAAAATAAACAGGAAAATGAAGAAACAACCAACAAAATGGGAGAAATTATTTGCAAACTATTCACCTGGTAAAGGTTTAATAACAAGAATATATAAAGAGATCAAGAAACTCCACAACAACAAAACAAACAACCCAGTTAAGAAATGGGCCAAGGACTTAAACAGACATTTTTCAAAAGAGGAAATCTAAATGGCCAACAGACACATGAAAAAATGCTCAGGATCACTAGTTGTCAGGGAAATTCAAATCAAAACCACAATGAGGTTTTACCTCACTCCAGTTAAGATGGCTTTCATATAGAAGTCAACTGGCAAGGATGTGGGGGAAAAGGTACCCCAATCCACTGTTGGTGGGAATGTAAATTGGTAAAGCCACTATGGAAGACAGTATGCAGATACCTCAGAAACCTGAATATAGACCTACTGTATGACAACAGTCATCCCACTCCTGGGAATTTACCCAAGAGAATTGAAATCAGTATATGAAAGAGTTATCTGCACCCCCATGTTTATTGCAGCTCAATTAACAATAGCTAAGACATGGAATCAATCCAAATGCATATCAACTGAAGACTGGATAAAGAAATTATGGGATATGTACACTATTTAATACTATACAGTCATCAAAAAAATGAAGTGCAGTTATTTACAACAGAATGGATGAATCTGGAAAACATCATACTTAGTGAAATAAGCCAGTCCCAAAAGGACAAATACCATATGTTCTCCCTGATCTGTGAGAACTAATAGAGCACCTAAAAGACAATCTGTAGAAGTGAAATTGACATTCTGAAGCAATGACTTGAACAGCCCTTGTCTCAACTGTTGAGGAGCTGTTTTTGTTTTTGTTTTGTTTTTTTTTTTTTTGGTTTTTGTTTGTTTGTTTGTTTTTTTGACAGGCAGAGTGGACAGTGAGAGAGAGAGACAGAGAGAAAAGTCTTCCTTTTCCATTGGTTCACCCTCCAATGGCTGCCGCGGCCAGCGCACCACACTGATCCGATGGCAGGAGCCAGGTACTTATGCTGGTCTCCCATGGGGTGCAGGGCCCAAGGACTTGGGCCATCCTCCACTGCACTTCCCTGGCCACAGCAGAGAGCTGGCCTGGAAGAGGAGCAACCGGGACAGAATCTGGTGCCCGGATCAGGACTAGAACCCGGTGTGCCAGTGCCGCAAGGCGGAGGATTAGCCTAGTGAGCCGCGGCGCTGGCCAAGGAGCTGTTTTTTTAAATACTATTTGTTGAACTCTTTACGTAACATAGAGTTAAACATACATGCATAAAGTCTCTTGAAAATAGATCTCAGTAAAAAATGAAAGTGAGAATAAGAGAGTTAGGAGGAAGAGGGGTGAGAGTATGGGTGTGAGGGCAGGCATGGTGGGAAGAATAACCATGTTTCTAAAGTTGTAATTATGAAGTGTATGAAGTTTGTAACTGTAAAGCTGTATAGTTCTGCATACATTCCTGCAGACTTACAATTAAAAAACTTGACATGGGACCCCAAATCCCCATAGGCTGGGTGGTAAAATACCATCTAAAGTGTTAAAGTGATCATATGGATAGGATTGAGTGTCTGGTAATAATAACAGATAGAATTAAAAAGTAGTGAATGCTCTAACATGAGAAGCAGTTCACACAGCAGATTGATAGAATGACAATCGCTTTAAGTAGCACTCTGACCTCAGAATCAGCCCTTAAGGCATTCTGGTGGCTGAAATGCCCACGAGAGCATTTCAGACATAGAAATCCAAGACAGTGTGGCAAAAAAATGTCCTACATGAAGGACCTTGGTGGGCGAGACCCCAGTGGAAAGAAGTGGTCATCAAAGTAGGATGTACTTTTCTCAGAAAGTAGGAGAAAACTTCCACTTTGCTTATGGCCTTGTCTAAATATGATCAGAGTTGGTGAACTCAAAAGGCTTCCATAGCCTTGGCAGCTCATGACAAGAGCCTAGGGTGATTACTGAGGCCATAAACAAGAGTGTCAATTTGTTAAGTTAACAACAGGAGTCACTGTGCACTAACTCCCCATTTAGGATCTCTGTCCTCAAAGAGTAGTTTTATAGTTATGTCTAAGTGCTTGCAAAAGATTTATCATTCTTGGGTGCTTCTTTAAAGTGAATTAAGTTTCTGGCCATCACCGTGGCTCAATAGGCTAATCCTCCAACTGCAGCACCTGCACACCGGGTTCTAGTCCCGGTCGGGGCACCAGATTCTGTCCCGGTTGCCCCTCTTCCAGGCCACCTCTCTGCTATGGCCTGGGAGTGCAGTGGAGGATGGCCCAGGTACTTGGGCCCTGCACCCGCATGGGAGACCAGGAGAAGCGTGGTGTGCCGGCTGCAGCGCACGGGCCGTGGCGGCCATTGGAGGGTGAACCAACGGCAAAAGGAAGACCTTTCTCTCTGTCTCTCTCTCTCTCTCATTGTCCACTCTGCCTTTCAAAAAATAAATAAATAAAAAATAAAGTGAATTAAGTTTCTAAAAAAAAAGGGAGTGAAATTAACTTCAAGATGCAATGACCTTGAACAGCTCGTGTCTCTACTGTTGAGAAACAGTTTTTTGTTTTTGCTTTTCTTATGCAAACTGTTGAATTCTTTACTTAGTATGGAATTGGTCATCTGTGTATCAAGTTAATCAAAAACGAATCTTACTGGAGAATGGGGCTGTGGAAGGAAGAGGAAGGAGGGGGAGAGGTGGAAGGGGGGGTGGGAGGGCAGCTATGGTGGGAAGAATATTCCTAAAGCTGTATTTATGAAATGTATGAAATTTGTATTCCTTAAATAAAAGGTTTCTTTGGGAAAAGTTAAAAGAAGTGACTTACAAAACATTTTTAATATTTTTGCATATATCATAAATAAATATTTGAACCGTGAAAACACACACCCACACAAACACCCCTATTGAATTAAAATTCTGATGGAGGGGTGTGGCCTATGATTCTGCATTTCCAATACGCTCCCCAGGGGAGGCAGGCAAACGGTCTGTTCATGCTGCTGGGTCCAGGGACAATACTTAGGGAGCCCATGGTCTGGTGGATAAGAAATTCCATGCAAACGTCTTCCATGTGAGTTCCATGTCACATGTTTGCCCCCTCCCGAAAGCTGCCCCTGTGCCTGCCATCTCTCCCTGTCCCCCAGGTGGCCAGCTACCGCTCACCCGCTGGCCACGACGGGCAGGTGAATGTCTGCAGCCCGGTTAACCGCACCCTTCTCTTCCCTAGGGGAGGAGCGCCCCCGAGACTCCCCGGGCCCGGCGGAGGCCCAGGCGCCGGCCGGGACGGAGACTGGCGGCAGGACGAGCCAACGTTGCTGGACGTGCCCCCGGGCGCAGCTCAGGAAGATTTTCTGGGGTGTGGCGGTCGTGCTGTGCGTGTGTTCCTCCTGGGCGGGCTCCACGCAGCTCGCCAAGCTGACCTTCAGGAAATTCGACGCGCCCTTCACCCTCACGTGGTTTGCCACCAACTGGAACTTTCTGTTCTTCCCGTTGTACTATGCGGGGCACATCTGCAAGTCTGCGGAGAAGCAGTCGGTGAAGCAGAGATTCAGGTAGGCGCCTCCTGGCTGGCGGCCCTTATACCAGCCCCCATGCTGCTCTGGGCTGCCCCTCGGCGGCAGACACTGGCATTGGCCGGTGGGAGCAAGCGGTGAGATAACCGCAAATGCACCTGCTCTCTGTGGCCTCAATTCTCTCAGCTCTCGCTGGTGAATGCCTCCGTTCTCTGCCTCCTGCCCCTCTCAGCCCTCGGAGCTCCATTACGAGAAACAGGAGCGGGCAGGTGGTCGCTTGTAGTTCTCAGAAAGAGTAGAGATGGGAACAGAACTTTGCACCTCGGGTGAGGTACAGACCATGAGTCTTTGGAGTTGAGTGACTCGGCTGCTTCCTGTAGCTTACCTCCCTCTTGGGATTTTCCCCAAAAGGGCTTCCTTTTGGTTCTGTCTTTAACCCATGACGTTCCTTCCTTCAAGGATGTGATAGCGTGGGGCTGAAGATTGATCAGAAAGTGTGGTGATGGAAACCAAGGTAGTGTCTGTCCTTTGTTGGTGGTGGTCATTCCTGCGGAGTCCATTGGAGTGCCATCCCTTTCGAAACGAAGCCGGAAACCCTGACCTCAATCCCCTACTTCGGTATACAGCAGGGTTCCCAAGGGCTCCCCAGGAGCCTCACATTGCTTCTGTTGACCCATGGAGCCCATCAGTGCCTCTAAGTTCCCTGCATGTTTGCCCCAAGTTGGAGGCCCTCCACGGGCTGTGTCAAGAGGCCTCGCCAAAAAAAAAAAAAAAAAAAAAAAAAAAACAGGAAAGAATGCCAGCCAAATTGATAAGTAGGCCTTGAAAGCTTCTCTTTGATCAGTCCCAGAGGTGAACACACATCACCAATGAGAGACTGCTTACTCCTCCACTGCTGCCTCTTTCCCACCTCCTCCCCACTCCACCGAACACCCCCTCAAACTGCCGCTTCCCATTTACTGTCTGCTTCAAACTTCAGCAGAGTTCTGGAGTTGCCCTTGGAAGACAGAGATCACTAAAAACATCTCTGGGCCAAGGGGCAAAGAGGTCTGGGAATGGAAGTCTCGATTTGGAACAGAATTTCTCTCTGGACTCCACCTTGTGCAATTACAGGTGGAAGTACAGGTGTTGTGCCGTTTTCACGTGCAGAAGCAATTTGGCCTGGCTCCTGTAAAAGGACAACTTGTAAATCAGAACGCAGATTCTAGAGGAAAGAACTCTGGTTCCGGAGTCAGTCACAGGCTCGGCCTCCTGTGCCCCCCTTAGTGAAATGGATTTGGAGCAAATTCTGGAGACAAGGCAGGCAGGGCAGGGAGTGTTGAGACGTAGAGCAATTCCCCGCGGACCGGCCAGAAATTGCTAAGAGGCACTTAAGCACCTCTTCTGAATAGCAGCCAAAAACAGAGGAAAGCAAACAGATTTAGAAACACTGATAGGGGCCCAGATTGTCCCAACAGCAAGAATAAAGTGATGGCCTGCTTCTAGTCCCAGCAAAAAGCAAATGTTCGGTAAATGATGTATTTAAGAGTCGGTAGCCCTAAGTGTGTTTAACTTGTAATGAGAAATTTGTCTTTCTTTAAACTGGCCCATAAATATGCACAAATTTTATGTGTCTCTTAAAAAAATTTTTAACAGGCTAAATTAATATGTTGGTGCCTGTGATGAAATGCCAGAAGCGAGCTGAGCTGATGCACCCTTCTTTGAGAAAGAATTATTAGAAGAGAAGATAGAAAGCTCCTTCACTGTACCTTTAACCATGCAGGCCAAAATAGTGCCACGAACACCCGCATCGGGTAGCACTGGCTGCTGTCCCAGACATGTGCCATGGCCATTGCCTGTCTAGATGAGGCTGTCACTGCCAGCCCCAAGGGCAGCCCCAGCACTAGGTAAGCTATGGTGCTGAAAATCCACCCTCCACAATTATAGTTGGAAGTGCAAGTGTTGTGCTTTGTTCATATTCAGAAGGAACTTGGCCTGGCTCCTTTAAAAGAACTTGATAATCAGAACACAAATTCTAGAGGAAGGGGCTCTGATGGAGCTTGAGTTGAATCACATGATCAATTTCCTGTGCCCCCCTCCCCCCTTACTGACATGGATTTGGAGCAAATTCTGGAGGGAATTCACAGAGGGAATCAAACTCAGGGGTGGCTAAAAGGGCAAGGCAGAAAAAAATGAGAGGTCACAGAAGGGGATTAGTTACGCTTAGAAAACCATTAGCACCTTAGTTTCAGTCTATTATTTTTCTATAAAAAGTGTCCCCAGAGAATCATGAAAGAATTCCAGTGACTGCTGTGCTGACTGGGGAACAATGTGGGGGTGGGAGATAATTCTAACTTGATGGGTGAGTTCAGTTAAAACCTTGCCGGGTTGCTATCATAACACTTAGCTCCACCTCTTAAAAACTCTTTCTGATTCTAAGTTGTGTTTCTTTGTGGCTGAGCACAGCTGCTGGTTTACCAGACAATTACTAGACGTGTCAATCAGGTCATGAATGCCATGGGAGGGATGAAGAGAGAGTCTTTCTCCAACAAGGGAGAGAAAAATTTCAACATCACAAGCCTTCCTTAGGAAATCACGACTCTGTCGCAGCCCAGATTGGGAGTACTTTAAACACACTTTAAATTCTCAATTCTCAGAAATTGAGGGAAGCTGAAATCACATCTTCCATCATCAAGCTTTTATCCAAATTAATGTCAGAGACATTTAGAGTGAGCTGAGGTGATGTGTCTCTTGGCTAAGAGCATGTAGGCAAGGAGTTGAGAAGAGGAGACAAGGAGAAACATGTTCCACAGAGAAAGAAGCTGGACAGATGAGCCAGCTTTTCCTGTAGTTATCACCACAAAGTCAAGTGGAACCTTCTTTTCTCCATGTCTGCCTGAGCTGCTTCTCCAAAGTGAGCCTAGCGTACAACTGCAAGCACCTGGCCAGGCTTCAGGTCTTGCTGGAGACCCACTCACATTGACTAGAGCTGGGTGGGAACAAGAATCGGCTTTCCTGACCAACTCCTAGGAGATTCTGGGTACTGCTGGCCCACAGAGGCTGCAGTTGGTATCAACTACAGGTTTTTTAAAATACTACCAGTCTGACCAAATGTGAGAAGCAGGCCTCACCTCGCCACCTACAACTGACTCTTTGTGGGGGCCCAGAGAATGTTTGAGTCCTAGTCCTCCATCACTTGTAAGGGGAGATGATGTGGGCACCGCATTTAAGCTTTGGGAGCCTCAGATGCCCACTTGCAAATGGAATGCACCACCTTGCACAAGATTTCTGTGTGAGCCAATGAGACACCCTGTATGAAAGTGCCCTGTGAACCCTAACACGCCACATACATGCCAGGGGCCAACTCTGCATTGTGATCTCTGTGGGTTGTTTCAGAGGATGTAGCCCATGCTTTTTTCTTCATCGGCTGTCTGTTGATGGTTCATTTAAACTACCCGAATGTTAACCTCTACAGTACCTTGCAAGTTCTCATCTTGAAGAAATTTAGCCCTGGCAGCTGCACAGAGAATACTAGAATACTAACCAGGGCTTCTCCTGATCGGACACTATGGTTGGGAATTAGAGTATGAATGGGAGAACTTCTCAGCCTGACCTATTGGGTTTTCAGGCCCTGCCTTGTGGTCTGTCTAGCAAGCACCCCAACCATCCTGGGGTTCAGCAAGCTCCTCCTTTTCCTCATGATTGTTACCCCACCCTCGTCTTCCCTGTGTCTCACTGACAGCTGGCCTCAGGGGTGCTCTGAGAACTTGGGTCTACAGAGACACTTGAGGACACTATGGGAACTGGTCTCCTGGATAGCTGTGCACCTGGGAAAGGTGAAGGGAGGAGACTATGTCAGGTGCACGACCCTGGAAAAACTGTCCTGGGCAGGGATAACAATGCACGACATCCCAGACCCTCTTTCCCTGGGAAGACGGGATAGGAAGATAGCGTTCCAGGTACAAGAAGCTGCCACAGTCAGTGGAAACCAGGCTGCAACAGACCTGGGGCATCTGCAGTCTTGTCAGAAAGTCTTCCAGGAATTCCCAGCAGCAGTGAATTGCTTTCAAAAGCAAATATGAGGATCTTCTGAGGCTGCCAGACGAAGGAAGGATACAGTGGTGACAGGTGTTTTCCTCTGCCTTTTCTAGTTCCAGGCTTCTGTGTGACAGCCAATTGATTCTGCTTCAGTGTCTGGGGACAAGAAGGGGGAAAGGGGAGTTTGGCTGCCTTTCATCTTAGATCCTGCAGGGCCCCGTGCACATATCCAGCTGCACAGACTCAGGCAGGAGCTGTCTTGGGTCTGTAACATTCATGCACCACTCCAAGCTTGAAGAGCTGAATAGAGCAGTTGCAATCTGGATATTGCAGATCTGCTGTAGGTGAGGATTAAGGGATATGCTGAGGAATGCTTCCTTTCCTCAAGGAGCCCAAGACCTGGTAAGGTGGTCAGATGATCAGATAAGATAGTGAGATACACAGGGGAGTCAGGGCGGAGGCCCACGTGCATGTGACCTAGGGCAAGGTGGAAGGTTTCTTAGAGGAAGTGAGCTAGGAACAGCTTCCTTCAGAATGGGTAGGGGGTTCTCTAGGGGCTACAAGAGGAGATCCAGAACATTCTGGGCAGATGTATTGTCCTGGAAAAGCACAGAGGGTGGAGCCAGATCTGTGTTGTGTGTATGGAGTCTGAGGGAGCTCTCCCTGGGGTACAGGAGGTGAGGGAGGTCAAAGAGCAGACCTGGCAGTTAGGCCGGACAGACTATGGCAAGCCTCCCGCACCGTGTGGAGGAATTTCGGTTCTGGCATGAAGATTGGCTGCAGCTCCTGGAGCCATGATCAGGTTAAAACTTCAGAAATGCCGTTCCTCCAGCTCTGTCGAGGAGGAAATAGAAGGCAAGGCTGGAGGTTGGTGCAGTTTGCCAAACATGTGTGTGACACAGATGTTGTTCCTGATCCTAAGGAACTCACAACCTAGTGGGAGAGAGGCCCACAAAGAAAATGAAAGGGCAGACGGGGAGGAGGCTGGGCAGGAACTAGGGGCAGACAGCTTGGCTGTGGCT